AGAGACACTATCAGTGGTTACACGGTGTTGGGCTGAGGAGACCTTGCTACTGCAAGCAGTTACACAAGACCCAAGTGGTTTGGAGAGTGGCAGAATTCATTATCTCAAACCCTGATGTTCATTTCAATGTGTGATGCAGCAGAATGTGTGAGCCTTGGTCATGATAGGAAGTCCAAGATAAATGTCTTGTGAGACAGTGCAGACAGATGATCTTTGAGTAAAGCTGGAGGAAATGACAGTTAAACCAGGGTAAAGTATTTGATAAACTTTTTCTCTCCTTCCTTTTTAAGTAGTTAAGATGGGAGAAGGATGTGAACCTTGAATGTGATTTTCCCTTTTGCCTTTTCACTCCTAATTTAGATGGCACCTCATTAAAACCTTGTCTGCTGTTTCAAATCTGACACAGAGCAGATTTATCAAAGAATTTCTGTCAGTGAATCCTTTCTTAATCCTAATGCCACAGAGTTCATAACACTCAAATGTAATGATATCTTTTATGAAAGTAAATTAATGTGAGGAAGTCAGAATGATAATAGCCAGATTAATGTTAGATGTCTGAATAACTATTGCTTAATAAAATTTAAACGGCAGTTGTCTTGGCTTCAAAGTTTAAGCAGAAGAACATGTAGGCACAGGAATTGGGTTATTAAGTTTCTGCCCAATTAGAGGGCAGAAATTTGTTGAGAAACAGTATTGGAATATGCTTTGGTTTGCCTGTGTGGACATGAAAGGAGTGCATGTAAAAACCTTGTGTTCAGGATGGTCCATCTGTGCACTGGGTGAATTATTGACTTTGGCAGCAATGGAGAACAGCAAAGATGGGAAGGATGTTATTTGTTGACTGGGAGATAAAATTGGGCTGAAGTTTGCCAAGAGTGAGAAACAAAACTGTGACTGGTCAAGCTCTGAGTTCGATCTGTGCTGTTAGGCTGTTGGTTTTGTGATCTGAGCTGTAGGATGTCAGGGCTTGAACTGCAGATGCTGATAAAGAGAATATCATTGCCTGGTTAAGAAAGTCTCCTGTTCCTGAAAGTAGTTTTGATATTGCAGGATGAGGCAAACAGAAATGCAAAAGCTGGAGAAGGCAAAGTCAAAGTTGAGCTTTGCTGAACAGTAGCAGCTTCACTTCCCTCTCCTGGCTCAGACTTGGTTCTTGTGACAGGAGTTTATTGAGGCTCCTGTGTCTTATCTGACTGGGTGTTGTGGTAGGTGCAGAAAATGACCATTGTGGTGGGTTGTAGCTTTGTTGTATGACATTGTTCAGTCCTACAGACTTCCTCCTCCCCTGAGTGAGTAACTGCACTGTCGGGTCCCTCCTCTGTGGGATCTGTGCCATCAGCTAGGATGGAGCTTTGTGATGGAGAGGGACAGTGGATGGGGAAATGAACCTTCCTCTGCTCTCTGTGCACCAGGAGAGGAGGAGGGAGTGTGAAGCTGTCCTGTCACTTCCCAGACTTTCCTGCCACTTCCCTTGTTTCTCTACCATTTCTGAAGAGACAGGACAGAAAGGAGGGACTGAAGTTGATGTGAGGAGGTCTGTTCTCTATGCAAGAAAAGAGTTGGGAATTTATTTCTGTGTAAGGTTCATCAGGGAGGAGGGATGTTTTACCTATCGTGTAATACTTCTGCACAAAAATGAGACATTTTAAAGGATGGATGGTTGTGCATTTTTTCAGGTCCTCTGAGTGAATTACATCAAATTTTTCTTAGATATAAACAGTGTTAGGCTGTCTTATCAGTATGTTTTAGAAATTGACTTAAAACTTAGGTTTGAATGAGCTGTATTGCAAGTGCTGAAAATAGAACTTTCTTCCTTAACTTGACTTCTAAAATCCATTTGCTGGGTGTGCACTTTTACCTTAGTTCTTTTACTTTACCTTGGAAAGAAGAGTGGAACTAGATGATCTTTAAGGTCCCTTCCAACCCAAACCATCCTGTGATTCTACCTTGCTTTTGTGTGCTGGATCTCACATATAATGAATGATACACCAGTTCTCATCTGAACTTGTTTAATGAAATGTCATACTTGCAGAGTCTCTTTCTAAAGGATCCCCAAATCCTTTTCCAGTGGTTAGTGTTGAGTTACAAATGATCCCTGTAATTCTTTTATATTATCCATCATTGCCCTGTGTTGGCTCCTCAGGTAGAAGATGCTGACTGATCCTTGGGTAACCTGATATTTGATGGATGGAGGGGGACTCTGGCAGATAAAACTCAAGAGCAGGATGTAATTACTTGCATCATCACTTGACTGAGACACTGGAATTAACAACGTGCTCCTACAGAAAGTGCTGTGGGATTTTTCTCAGCTAACGGTGGTGAGGGATTTGTGCTCATTTGTCTGAGGAGCAGTGGCAAGTCCAGGCACATTGTGCTCTGTGGGGATTTTTGTGGTGCTTTGGAGCTGAGTGGGAAGGAGAAGTGCCTGCAGCAAACTGCTGGCTCTGCCCTCCCTGGGAGTTCTGTCAAACATTAACCTGACCTAGGCCAACTCACTTTTTTAATTATTTATATTTAAAGCTCTCCCACCCTCACGATATGTACAAAGGTGTTCCCGTCTGGCTCTTACGGCACTTTATGTTCCCCCACGGAATGTGCAGCAGGAATCCCTAATCTGAAGGGTGGGATACAAACAGTTGTGTTTGTGTTATAGAAATGAGAAACCTTTATGTTTCAGTTAGTGGTGAATCACTGATTTATATTTGTATCATATTAGCAATACAGTTGTATTTGAATCCTATTTCCAAGAACTCAAACGAAGCCTTGGAAGGATGGACAGCTCTCTTCTGGAGATGGAGCTGTGGAAGAGTTTGTTCTTATCAAAATACCCAAATGGAATTACGGCTCAGGCTGTCCTGTGTTCAGCTGTGCAGCCTTACTGTGTGATACGGAGTTAGAGTTATAATTTTGGAGTACTACTGGTATCACCAGTCTTTTCCTTGCTGGAGAAAATCCCATGTGGAGTCCTCCCAAACCAAATCCCCCTCCCTTGGCACAGAGTGCTGCAGCAGTATCAGAAGGTGTGAGGGAGAGAAACAGAAAGCTTCATCCTTTTGACAAGTTGGGTTTTGCCTGTTTCTGAACACATATGAATATTATTCAAATTCTCTGTAAGCTCTTGTTTTAATTTTGTTCCTTATTTCAGTTATAAAACTCTGAAGATGACTCTGTGCTGCTTCTGTATTTGCAGCATTGTGATTATTCTTTAAATTTATCCTGGATAATCCTCCTGTTTGTTCTCTTTTGGGTAAAGTTGTATCATTTTAGTAGGAAATGTTATGTTTTTTCTGCATTTTTCTCCTTTACCATAACATAGAAATCTGGAAGTTAAGATTACACATTCACTTTTATTGTTAAGTATCAAGTAACTCTTGGTGACACGTTCCTCTTTGTGTAGCAGTGGGGGTTTGTTGTTATTTTTCGGTTTCTCCCTTTTTAAACAGCTTTTCTGTGAGCGCGTTTTAAAAGCTGACACAGGCATTTTAATGCAGGATTTGTGGCAATGCCATACTCCATGCACAAACTGGGAGAAGCTTGCTGTGCCAACTCCTGAGATGCCCCTTGCTGTTCATGGTACAAGTAAGAAAAGTATTTGAAATAATTAACAGGCATCTTTGGGAGGGAGTTGGGTGCAGCATTAAGGCAGCTTCAGGTATTTTTAAATGCCTTCTTAAAACATCATTCCTTATTACAAACAGGCTTTCTAGCTTTTTTCCCCCCTCCTTTTAAGAAAAAAGAATACAATCATGGGAGCTGTGTGTGTCCCCAGAGCTGGGTGTGCCCCGCACAGAGCCCGAGCTACTCTGTGTTCTCTGAAGGTGTTGATCGTTTATGGCCAAATGTTGTCAAACAAAATTTGTGTTTCAGCACTGCCAGTTAACCAGCACTGGATAAATGAACTGTTTGATTCCTCTTGCTTGCGAAACCAATTGAGATGGAAGAAACCTTGGAGTTAAATGAGGATGTCTTGAAGGAAGTGGAGGTGTTGTAAACAGGCTTTGAAGATCCACGAGTGCCTGGTTGAGATGTGGTGGGTTTGGATCCCTTTTAAGGGGCTGCACTTGGAGGGTTCCTCTGACCAACCTTCGCCTTTGATGGTTTTACCTTATGGTGCCTGGGAAGATGGAGAGATAGTGCTGGTGGTGAACTGGGGTGAGGGCAGGAGCTGGGATGCCTGATGTGGTTCAAGGGGGTGAGAAGAGGCTGCCAGACCTATACCTGTACCCAGGGTTTGGCCAAGGTCCTCTTTAACAGCATTGCCAGGAAAACTTTGACAATTGTGGGTGTGTTGATTGGGGTTTATTTTTAGTCTGAAACTGTGGTCCAAAAGTCCCAGACCTGGGATGTGCCCCCCCTGCCTGGAGCTAGGGGAGTGGGAGGTGGGAAGCAGGAGAAGGTGGCACCGGTGCTGCCGTTTCATAACACTAGTTATAAAATCCAAGATGATGATGGCTTGAGGAAGCTCAAGCCAAAGCCATGCCCTTGTTGGATTAAGGATGAACAGAAATACCAAATAGGATTTAGGAAGATGTTGGAAGGAGAAGTTAAGATTGTGTTTCTAGTACGGGTGATTTGAGCGATACTCGAGCAATTGATGTGCTTGGTGGACCTGGAGCAGCAATTAATGATGATTAAAGAATATACACAAGAGAATGTTGTGTCAGAAGTTTCTGTGAGTTCCCTGCTGGTTTTCCTGCTTTCTTTCAACTCTTCCTATTGAGCTGGAGCAGAGGCGTGAGATCTGAACAGTCAGTTGTGCAGTCACATACACACAGACTGTGGAGTTCAGCAGGGCACACTGAGCACAAGTAATGACTCAAAACACGTAGAGTTAAACTTCCTAAAAATGAAAATACTGTGCTGTGCTTTAGGCCTGTTTTCTAATTTCTTTTAATTTTTGAACTTCTCTTTTCCCAGATGTGGAAATTAAGGCGACTTTGGTCCTTGCTGCAGGGACCTGTTTTGTCTCCCTTAGCCTGGCTCTGCTTCTCCTTCACACTTTGCTCAGGACTCCTGGGAAAAGGGAAATTGTTGCAACATCCTCTTGGTAGCAGCAGGTACAAGGCAACAAGATCTTCATTTTCTGCTTGCAGGCCTGGTGTGCAGAGAGACAGGAGCAGAGGAGCTGTCCTCTTGCCCAGAGGATGGCGTAGGAGTGATGGGAGCTTGGCTGCTCCCAGCTCTTCCATCCTGTGGGAAAAGGTTTAAATGTGGGAGAGGGAGAAGCAATTCTGCCTCTGAGCAGCCTGCACTGCTGGTGGGAGCAGTGATGGGGCAGAGCTCCTTCCCCCAGCCAGAATCCAAACTGAGAGAGAACAGAGTGCCAGCAGGAGATGGGACTGGTGTCCACTCCAAATTGGAAAAAAACCTGAGGACTGGCAAACAGTACAGAACTTTGGTCATACCAGTAAATGTTATGTAGTGGATTTTACAGGGTTGGTGTAATTCAAGTGGTCTGAAAACTTAGTTTTGCAATTTCCTTGACGCTGAAGGTAGCTGCTGGCAACGTTGATCAGTAGACAGGCCTTGGTCATCTGCTTTCAAAGTACCTCTCCTTGCTTTCCTCTACATGGGCAGCTTATTTTCTGGTACATCTCGTGGCTGTGCAAGATAGGAAGTTAATTGGGAAGTTGTCTGAAGTTCAGAACTAAGGAAGCCTCACTCACTAACTTCCTTTATTTACACATTTAGTGGTAGTGTGATTTTAATAGCTTCGTACACATTAGAGGAACTTAAAATAGCTCTGTGTAGAGATTAGGTGATTAGATACAAACAGGTCTAACTTGAATCCCATTCAAACTATTTGCTCTAATAAAAAATGTAAAAGAATTCAAGAAAACTAAACCCAATCCCCTTAACATGACTACCCATGAGGGTGTTTTATCATTTACTACATTACAAAAGACTGGGGAGGAGTGATTAAAAGTGTGATTAACTGCTGTATTTCTGATGACTAATTTTACATAGACCTGGGCAGGTACAGCCAGATCAGTTCTGGATTTGCTCCAGCTCGTATCTCGAATGAATCTTTGCTGTAATGTTCCTTTGTGTTGGTAAAAATGCTGGTTTTTCTGCAGTCCCAAGAGTTATAGTAAATGTTGATAAAATTTTAAAAGATGATCCTTGACTCCGTAAAAAATAGGGAAAGTCTTTGTTAATATTTAACCCTCTATTTGAAAATTATAGATGTAAAATTCTTTAGAATTATAATATTCTGAATGTACAGCTGTATATCATTCCCAATCCCATCCCTTTAATGTGAATGAACCTCCCAAAACCAGGGCACTTCTATTCTCTACCTCAAAATTTGCCTTCAATAGTAAATGCCAGAGACTCAGACTGTTCTAATTGGCTTTTACTGATCAGTGTCTATAATTAAATCTGTTATTTGTCTGTGTTTAAATCCTGCATGTGTAAGAAATTGGGCTGCAGTCTGAAGAATGAGCTTTTTAAGCCTCAAACTTTTAAAACAAGTTTGTCATGAATGCCAAAATAATCCAAGGGATTTGCTGGCCACATTCCAGTGCATAGATCCCTCTCTCAGCCTTGATGGTCACCTGCAGTTACATGAGTTCAGCTGATTACAGGGGAACTGGAGAAAAAAGTGATTTTTCACATAAAGTTTCAAATGTATTGTGTTCATAGGCTTGATATCATCATTGCATGAATTAAGCTGATGCTCATACCTTTTTATGGTGCAGGGAAATACAACAAACCTGTTGCCTTCAAAAACATTAAAGATCTAAACTTATACCTTGGCTTTATTCTGGTTTAGGTGTCCTCTTAGACTTCACTGTTTTCAGAGTAACAGACAAAATGAAGCCAAATGAGTAAAAGAAATAAATGCAAGAGGCTGTAATATTATTGAGGTGAAGAGATTTGTATTTTAAAAACTGAGTGATGGGTTGAAGTTTTCCTGTTTAGAATGGGATAGCTGGGTTTACACAGATTTCAGGGTCATACTGCAGCAAGTTTTTTTTCTTTTTAATAGGCAGCTGTCTAAAAACATGAAATAATGGTTTTCTAAGCAACCAACATTTTCGTTTTAGACTGCAAATTATGTGGAAGAGCATAACTTTTTCTTGGGAACACCTACTGTACTTTGTGCAGATCAGTAAAGCACATTTCTAAATCACTTGATAGAAAGTTTAGCACATGTTTTGACTGCCCTATCCCTGGAAGTGTTCAAGGCCAAGTTGGATGGGGCTTAGAGCAACCTGGTCTAATGGAAGGTGTCCCTGCCCATGGCAGGGGATGGAATGGATGAACTTTAAGGTCCCTTCCAACCCAAACCATGCTGGGATTAAATGTTAAAGGAATTAGTACCACCTTATTTCTCATCTTACTTTGTTTACTCCTTTAAGTCCCAATGCTTTATAAAGTTCTGAGGGAATCTTTTCCAGCTTTTGTGTGTGTTGGAACAATTTGACATATTTCTGTTAACACCAGCAGCACAACCAAACTGCAAAGTAAAATTTGTAAGAAGGGGTATTAGCAAGTTTTTAATCTGAATTTTTGCAGTAGGAGAATATGGTCCAAGGCAGAAGGTGCAATATTGCCAGAACTTCCCTGAAATTACTGCTCTGAGTAGAAATGCCTTTGGGAGTCAGGGGAGGAAGGGAGACCTGGAAACCACATCAAAGCTTGAGGTTAGAATATGTTGGAGGATGGGTGCCAAAAAAAGGTATGTCAGCACCAAAAATAAACCCAAACCTACAGGAAAAGCCAGGCACTGAATGGGTGGGGGGTTACAGAACATCTGGGGGATGTGGGGGAGAAAAAGTATTTTAGAAATGAATGGGAGATGTGCAGCGTGGGCTGAGACAGCGAAATGAGTCGAGCGGTGAAATGGTTTGAAATAGTTACTTGCCTGAGGACTTTGTGGATTTTTTTCAATTTTTTTTTAATACTGCATAAAGTTTCCCTGTTAGAGCAGCTGTGGATTGGGGGTTACAGCTCTTTGGAGGGGGAAGTGGCTGAATTTGGACAAACATCTGGGTTTGAGGAGTTATGATCCTCATTCTTTGGCCAAACAGGACCAGGGGCTGACTCTGTGCGCTCACATCTCTCCTTGTTTCCTTCTGTGATCAGAAATTATCTGTTTTGCCCGTAGCAACATGAACCGTGAAGACCGGAATGTGCTGCGTATGAAAGAAAGGGAAAGGCGAAATCAAGAAATTCAGCAGGGTGACGAAGCCTTTCCACCCAACTCCCCTCTCTTTGCTGAACCTTACAAAGTGGTGAGTTTCTGCAGTGCTTGAAAATGCAGGTTTCATAACAGAAATCATGTTTTAAATGTATTTTTGTCTGCATTCTTTTTAGATCCAAAGCTCTTACGGCAACCGAGTATTTAAGCAGGGCTTGAAAATAAGGCTGGGCAGTCACTAACCAGCTCCACTGGCAGATTTACAGTGCTTAGGAAGGAGGAGAAGCTTTGAAGGGAATGAGAAAGAGAAAAAATAAAATCATAAAATTTTTTTCCTTCCTTCACTTTCTGTACGGTGACTCAAAACACTTAAACTGTCCATTGTGTGATGCCAAGTTGCCATTTTTGGGGTGAATGAATGCTGGTTGCTAAACTTTCTAACCTTTAATCAGTGTAATCCAGATCTGGACAAGTTCAGAAAGAAAATGTTTAAATAGGAAGTTAATTTTAAATGCTGAAATCCCTGATAGGATGGAATTATAAGCTCTAACTAGTACTCCAGTAGTTTGTATCTGATTTTTTTAGTTTGTTTTGAAGGACTTGATTTTGTTTATGATCTTGCACAGCTTTAAGCCTGTGTTGGGTTTCCTGCCAGGTTTGCTTTACTGAGCAGAATTGGAAAAAATAACCTAATTCTGGGATAACTAATAAAACACCATTTAAGATTTTAATTATGTAGCTCAGAACTCACTTTGAAAGCAAACCTCTTCCCTTATTACAATTTCAACTGGTTTGTAAGAAGTAAAACATTGTTACTAAAAACTGACTTCCTGCAGGAGGAAAGTTGAGGAATATTTGGTGATTTTTTTTTTTATTCATGTCCTCCCATTACTTTCCTGTGCTTGATAACCAAATCCCACCTTTATGAAGTTAACTGGAGCTGATTGGGATGCATGGGGAATGATCTAATAGACCTAATTTGGAAAACGAAATGGTTATAGAAGAAAGAACCCTTTTAACTCTGGGCAACAAACATTGTGCCAATATAAATACCAATTAAAAATTACATGCAGGGGTGAGGTTAAGCTGATTTTATTTTACTGCTAATTAAAACTTTTTAGAACTCATGCATTCTGTGTTAGAGAAATAATGTTTAAGGTGACAGTAGGCATCTACTGCTTTTAAACCTGCATCCAGCTCACCATTGCATTATTTGAAGCACTGATTAATGCTCTTTCAGCTGTTCCTGCTGCTGAAGTACATCTTTTCCTTATGTTTTAGGTTGTTAAATTACTGCTTTAAGAACTAAAATTGGGAATTGGAAACAATGGCAAAAGAGACATGAATTCTAGCCGTGAACTTAGACCTGAAATTTAGATGAAGTGCAGTACTTATCAAATCAATTAAGTGAAAGTGAAATTGTGATTGGTTTCAAATCATTATTTTTTAAAAATTATTTTCTTAGACCAGCAAAGAAGACAAGTTGTCCAGTCGTATCCAGAGCATGCTTGGTAACTATGATGAAATGACGGATCTCATAGGAGACAGACCGCTCCAAAAGCTTGTTGCAATTCCCAAACCGACCGTTCCATCAGCACCCGACGAGAAATCAAACCAAAGCTTCTTTGGTGATCAGAGACACAGCACAGGCTCCCACCAGAGCAGCAAATGGACTCCAGTGGGGCCGGCTCCCAGCACCTCCTCCCAGTCCCAGAAGCGCTCCTCGGGCCTGGCAGGGACGGGCAGCGCTCCGATGGCACGGCACGGGCAAGCGGCCAGAGGCACGAACGCATGGGCTGGAGCTAGGCGAAGCAGCAGCAGAAAAAAAAGCCAGATGGGTCATGAAAAAACCCCGTTCTTCCACCTTGGAACCACTGCTGTTCCTGCGATTGAGCTCCAGCCATTCGAGATCTCATGGGAATGATCACCACAGCAAAGAACATCAACGGTCAAAGTCGCCCCGGGATCCTGATCCCAGCTGGGACTCTCCCTCCCGTGTACCCTCATTTTCAAGTGGACAACACTCTAATCAGTCTTTTCCACCTTCACTAATGTCCAAGTCCAGTTCAATGTTACAGAAACCCACTGCATACGTCAGGCCGATGGATGGGCAGGAATCCATGGAACCAAAGTTATCCTCGGAACACTACAGCAGTCAGACCCACAGCAGCGCCGTGAACGAGCTGAAGCCCAGCAGCAAAGCACACCTAACCAAGCTGAAAATTCCCTCTCAGCCACTGGATGTAAGTTGCTGGCTGTTTCCTGGCTTCTGAAATGTAAATCCATTTGGGCTGGGATTTTCCAGCTTCTTTAAAATCCCAATCTGCCTAACCAAAAGTGAGTTTTTAGTAAACACCGTGTTTTTTGTTACACAAAGCACCTTAACCATAAGCAGTGAAGGCTGTATTTTCAGTGGGGAACGTGCAAAAGTAATAGTTTTTTTTTCTTCTGCTTCTTCCATGTGGGTACTGAGATTTTAATTAAGTAAAGGCTGAGACATTCAGGCAGGGTGAGATAACCCAGAGAGGCTAATTTTCATGGAGTATTTCTGTAGTTAGAAGTTAATGAAATAGAAGGACACACAAATATTTTGACAACCTGGATACTGACATTGTTACTGGGAGCCCAGTTGACTTAGCCTTGATCATATCTGCTTATATCAGATTTTCTTTTGAAGTGTGTAGCAATTACTAAATGTGATTATTATATATACCTAGGGAAAAGAAGCTCACCCTAACTCACCAAATTGAACAGGGTTAAGGACTTCTGTAAGTCATGCTGGATATAAAATACTATTGGGTTAACAACTTTTAGGAGTTTGGTAATTCTTGACTCGTTAAGGCACAGACTGACTCCAGCTCACTGGCAAGGAGAGAGCCTTTCCTAGTAATAAGATCTCATTGCATCTCCTCTCTAACTCCTTGAATCATGGTAGCCAGAGAAAAGCCTTTGTTCCTGGGATTTCAGCAAATAGCAAAATAATATTCAGGACACAGGTAAGGAAATTAAGAATGATTTTATTTGTCAAGACTTGCCATGTCAGTGCTGAGGCAGTGAATCCTGTAGTAGCTTTGCTTCTTTCTGCTTGTGGCAGTCAGGGATGCAGAAGATTCATAGTTTGGTAATTATTGCTGTTTCTGGAATCACTCTATAACGTGTGTTTTACTTGGGAATGCAGTTTGTCATTTCTGTGAATTCACGGTCCTGCACTTGAATTCAAGATATTATCCTGTGGCTTCTTCCAGGAAATGATTGAAAGCTGCAATTCTCATTCCCCTCTCTTGAAGTTTTTAATGTCACTGAGTGCCTGTGATCATTTTAACTGTCGAGTGAGAAGTAAGAGATCATTGTCACAGTTTTATAGATCTCATGTATTTGCTTTTCATAACTGGATGTGACTCATGCCATAAAAACGTGGATCTATCTGATATTAAAACTGATGAAAGGAATTAGCAAGGGCTGTTTGTATCTGTGTAGAGTCCATATGAGTCATGATAAAGATTGAAGTTTGTTTTTAAGTGTTTCTAGTCCCTGGAAGATTTGCTTTGGGAGATGTTAACCTTAAGTTTTGATTTGTAGGCATCAGCATCTGGCGAGGTGAGCTGTGTGGATGAAATCCTCAAAGTAAGTTCCCTGTGCTCTTCTTCATCATTTATTTGTTGAAAATTCAAACATTCCTAAGGAGGTGGAAGGACTCTGCAGTTATTAGTGCCTTTCAAACTGCCTTGGCTGGAAGTCATTTACAGGAGGGCTCTTCAGGTGCTCCTCTAGCACAAGGAGACTTGGGAAAACTGGGAGCAGAGTGGGCACTGGGTGTTGTGGGTGTGCACACAGTCTCCTGAATATCCTCACTGCATTCTTGCTCTTTTATGCCTCCTCCCTGGTAATCAAAACTACCCATTTCTTCCACCAGAATACAGTCCTTCATTCTGATACCTTTCTAGAGTATAGTAGGTGTTTTGCTACCCCGTGGCAGAATTTTCCCGGTCCCCTACCTGGGTTATTTTCCCCAAGTCCTGCGATTCCCTGTCCTATGTCTGCTCCCAGAAAAGGATCATCAGGCCCCCCTTGAGCATTTCCATGGCTTGCCATCTCCTCTGACCTTCAGTACTGCGTGGTCCTGAGAGATGCTTTGAAAGAATACAAGGCACTTTCTTTGAAGCTTCAGGCATTTGATTTTCCCCTTTTTCCTTAAACTCTGTAGGTTTCCCTTTCCTAGGATTCTTCCTTCTGCCCCTGTGTCCCACACGTGTTCTTCATGGTCTGAAATGATCAGACTCTGACCTGTACTGCAGTTTACATTCAGGCCAACCAAGTTTATTGATTTATGCCTTTCTGTTTGTTATTATGTCTTAACTATCTGTTCTCAGGGATAAAAATTTAAAATTCAGGTTTACATGCAATATCTGTTCTCATGGATAACCTGAATTTTAAACTGTTTATATGCAAAATCTTTGCACATTGGGGAAATTAAGGTTTTGAATATAAATCTTAGTGAAGGGTGAACAATGAGCTGAAAACTGAGAGACAGTCACCATTCAAATTCAGATTGTAATGAAATCTTTGCTGTAATTCTGTTAATTTTTCTTGTTGTTGTTGTTGTAGGAGATGACCCACTCCTGGCCCCCTCCACTGACTGCAATCCATACACCATGCAAAACTGAACCCTCCAAATTCCCCTTTCCAACAAAGGTCAGTGCTGTATTCAAATACTGAATGTTGTAAAAGTAACTCCTGTTAAAGATCAGGATTTTGGAACTCTTACATTCAATTCTGTATAATCCGGGTTTATTTCAGTGCTTTATGTCTCTTTATTTTGCTTCAAAACCACTTGTCAGCAGTGACCTTATGAGGAATGTCCAAAGTTTTCCTCTGTTTTGCACGGATAGAAGTCTGCAAGGTTGTCTATAGTCAAACTTTCTTTTTTAACTTTTGTTTCATAAATTCAAATCTTCAGGATACTTGAAAGGCTTGAAAATGCCTTTGAGCCTTTTCCCTATTAGGAAAATGGTTTGCACTACTTATGTAGAACCAAGTGAGTTTCCCTCCATGTAGCAAAGGATCAGAGTCTGGCTGATAAATGCTGAGAAATTTAAGTGTATTTCTCTGCTTAAACTGAAATTTCCTCCTTATTTTGAAGTGTCTTTCTAAGAGATTTTTACATTTACAAAAAATTAAAACCTTTTAAAAATCAGAAATGTTCAGATCACTTGTTTCAAAAGGTCCTTTTCCCAACCTCTTGTGTGCTTAATAACTATGAAGGGTTTAAGCTGTTAATTCTAAAGAGAAAACCACCTCTTTGCTGCTGTTGACAGCTCTGGGCACATTTCCAGGAGACCTGCTGGAGCTGACACCTCTGAGGAAGGAGATCTCTCTCCTTCCCTGGGGTCGGGTCTGGCAGCCCCAGCTGCAGGGTTTTGGGGCACACTGGCACTGGGAATTGTTTGCCTTGAAGAGCAGCTCTGCAGTCTGCAGGATCCTGGGAGCCCATGGGTAGGCAGGGGAGATAACTGTGGGTAAAACCCAGCTTGGAGATTCCTGACTCATCCAGGAATTCATGGTTTGTTTCCTGTATCTGCTGATTACCAGTAAAAGATTCAACTCAACAATAGGATTTTTCTCCAGACTCAACATATCTCTGTGAGGAATTGGGGTGCCCCACCCCTAACTTGGCATAGCTTCAGACTATAGAAATCAGACTATCTTTTAAAAGTTACCTTTGTAATGATTAAGACTATGTTTTATTTGACCTACTGCTGTTTTAGAGCATCATTTGCTGCTCTTAATTTCCTGTTTGATCCAAATTGCTCCCCAAACCAGAACAGTTGAGAGAATAATTTTAAGAAAAGTTTCTCACTGAGGTTTCTGATGTGATATGTCTAAACCCGTCGTCTTATGTGAATGATTTGACATCGCCTTCCTTCAGCCAAAGGTTCCAGGTCCATGCTGGAAGGGCATATCCACAAAACTACCCCAGACTGGTATGAGTTGAGCTTCTCATCCTGGCTGGATATCTCAGAGCCATGGGCAGTCCTGCTGTCTCCACCCTTTGTGTGGCATGTTCCTGTTTCACTGCATTTTGTTTCTCTCCAGTGATCAGAAAATTCAGAACATGCCATTCAGTTCTCAGCTTTACTTTGGAAGGCATATCTAGAAAGTAAATCCTGTCGTCTATTTTCTTAGCATTAGATCAATATTAATCTTGCATATACTACTCTTAGTCAGGGTTTATTTGCTGTGTTATATAAAACTGTCAGCCTGGAAATAATTCGTACCTTTTATTATAGAGAAAGAAATCCCACACCTTTTCTCATCAACAAAGGTCCTTATTCCACTACTTTGAATACTTGAATACTTTGAATGCTGCTTGTTTCTGTGTATCCCTGGCATTTGACTCAGTCTGAGGAGAAGTGTGCAGAAATCCATGTCTATGACACAGAGAGAAACTACCTAGGACTGCACAGTTATGTTAACGTTTGAACAAAAAAGGTGGCTTGTGGGGCTTTCTGAACCTCTCAACCAGGATTGTGTTTCTTCACCCAGTTTGCAAAAAATTCCATTTATGGCTGCTCTGACTCTCTTGACTTTTTGCCAGCTTTTTTATTTTGTGGCTGCACATCTTAGCCGTGGAACTCTGTCAAATTCTCTCTCTGCATCCAAAGCCTATAATTTCCTCTGCCTTCTCCCCTCTGTCATTCTTGGCAGCAGCAGCTATGCAGAATTCCAGTGAGTTAGTGAGCCATAGGTTTGTGCAGTCTGGGCCCAGAGCAGAATTCACCAAACAAAACAAAACAGTGGTTTACTTTAATCAAGCAGTTCTGTTGCAGGAAAGCTCCTCCTCTTTAATACTGTGCTCCATTTATTACAAGTCATATGCTGAAGTGTTTCACAGCATTTCTCCTGTGTGCAAAAGTTGGTATGTTTCTCCTGTTCACACAGAATTAAGCTCCCTTTGGTGGACCACTTGATTTTATTTGTCAAACTGTTGGGATGGGATTGCTTTCCTCATGTGTAGAGAGTGAGTAACTTGAAGGAACCCAAACTCCTGACTGGGGCCTCTCTGATTACTATAAATATATCTAACAGTTACCAGGAAGTCTTTGAATCAGAAGATAAAACTCCATGAAAATAGGTCAGGGAAAGTTTTATGGATGCTATGAAAAATATGTAGATTCCTGAGACTTGATAAAAAATGTTATCCCGTGACCTAACACTCTGTAATTTTATCCATGGGCTCACAGTCAAAACCGCCAAAAATACTGGCATGTTTATAAAATATATTAAAAAACTCCAGCTGTTTGCTGGGGAGGGGAAGGTTTTTGTTTCCCAGCACCACGGGAGGCTTGGCACTGTTTGTACCTGCGCCGGGGCCTGAAGGCCATGGAGAGGTGGATTCTGCCTCCAGGTTCCTCCATTCCTGCCCTGTGCCAGAGTGACCAAGGCCAGCAGTCGGATCCCTTGATCTGCAGCAATATGGAAACTTCCTTTTGAGAAATGAAAATGAGATCTGACCTGAGATTTCAGCTATTAAATAGAAATGGGTCCCGTTCACCACAGCCAGGTCTGTGAGGGGGGAATCCAGCCCCCGATGCCGTCCTGTCCAGCTGGAGAGTTCCTCTCTCCACGTTTTTTTGTCATACTTTTTGTTTCCTGCTTAAGTGTCTTCCCTGTGTAACCGTAGCAGTCTATTATATTTTGGTTAAAAGGGTTTCCTTCCTTTCAGTTGTTTTGAATTTCTTTCTGAAGCAGACCTTTAGAAGCTGCTGCTGTAAATATCTTTGGAGTTGAAAGTAGAGCTGTTTTTTTTTTTTTGATCTCTGAGTTTCTTAAAGAAATATGTATTCAATAGATGGCAAGAGAGTTGGAAAAAGTTGCGCATTTAACCATAACACCTCATTAAAGTGCACTTAGCTGAGAGCCTGTGCTTTGCCTTCCAAGTAGGAAGCTGACTAAAGCGAGGAATTAGGCAGGTGTGTTCTGCAAATTCCTCATCCGTGTGCTGGTAAAGGGGTGCCAGTTCCCCATCCCATGCTCCCTTCAGTGCAGTGCCTCTGGAGGTGTGGTGTTTGATTACTGTGTGGTCGTTACTTCTTTTTTGACTTAGTCTGTTGGCGTCTGAGCTGCCAGTGGCAAAAGAGATTCAGGGAATCACACCTGCCCTCCTCCTACCTGTGTAAAAGATAAAAAACCAGGTTTTATTTTGAAGGAAGTGTGACTGTTGCTTTCTGTTGAAGTCACAAGACTTCTCTCCATCTTTGCTTTGCACTTTAAACAGAGGTTAATTTTATTTTATTGTCCCTTCCTTTCTTTCAGTTAGTAAGGATCAGAAACACCTTCCAAGGAGAGTTCCTTATCAGGTTCCCCATCAAGTTCCCCATGCACAAAATACTTGTTCAGTGCATTATTGCAACTGCTCCACTTGAGAAATACAAAGTTAAGGGAAATTGAAACATTTTAAGTCTGCTTTGCTGTGTAAAGCTTTTGTGTGTTTAAAAACCTCCATTTTATAAATTGCCTGGCACTGACTTGGCTGTGTGGCAAAACTGGTTCACAGGTGTACCAGAAAAAGTGGAATTCATTTTATTGTAATTTTGGTAGGATACTGCCAGACCATTTAGGTAAAACGTATGTATGTAGCTAAAAAATTGGAAATATTTGACTCAATTTGTATTTCTGGGACTGGCAGTTGTCCTCATTTTAAAATGAGGTCAGGAAGGTCCTATTTTAAAAAGATACTCCAGCCTGGAAGTGGGTTTTCAGTAGCTCAGTAGCCTCTGTGTATTTGTTTGTTAAAGCAGTATTTTAGGGTTTCAAAAAAGTTTATAATCTACTGTGTCTTGGGAGTCAGAACTGAGGTTTCTGTGGAATGGGAATACTGAAGATGATAAAAGTGCTAAAATTTGCAAGGCTTCATCTCTCACAGCTAGTTTTATATGATATTAGGAAGAAATTCTTTGCTGTGAGGGTGGTGAGGCCCTGGCACAGGTTGCCCAGAGAAGCTGTGGCTGCCCCATCCCTGGAAGTGTCCAAGGCCAAGTTGGATGGGTCTTGGAGCAAGCTGGGATAGTGGAAGGTGTCCCTGCCCATGGCAGAGGGGCAGAACAAGATGAGCTTTAAGGTCCCTTCCAACTCAAACCTTTCTGTAAATCTATGGTATCATTGTGTATTGGCTTTTGCACAAGGGAATTGTGTGATTTCATGGAGATTTGGCTATTCTGGGAACGCTGTGTTGGCTACCCAAGCCTGGCTGGATTTACCAGGGACCCACATGGAGTATTCTGGGCAGAGTGTGCAGAGCTGGTCACAATTTAAATCTCAGATTGTCCCTTAGGGTCCTTTGTGGCTGAGATAAATTTTTTTGTTGAGAGGTTTTTCGTGTCCTCATTGCTTGTCCCTCAGGGTGCTGTGTGTGCCTGGAAAAGGAAAATGAGGAGAAAAGGGTTTGAAGGAAAATACTTCAAACAAGCAGCAAAGTTTGTGTATAAGGAGGATAAACAAACATTCTGAATGGTTCCTCTCTATGCTAAACATACAGGGAGCTGGGATTTATGGAAGTTACAGAGGGATTCTGGAGTTCCAGCTATGATGCAGTGCAACTGCCCAGCAAGGACGTGGGTGAGCTGGGCTGAGGAAGAGGAGTGGGAAGCTCTTCACCTGGGCTGCTCTGGGGCCTGGATAATGAATCCCTCTTTCTGGTTGTTGATAGTTTTTTCCCATTTTTCAGAGGTTAGACGCCATCCTTGAAGTAGAAAGAATATCTTCCTTACAGCCTGGTTTTTAGTATGTTAAAATTCCCAGTGGAAAAAACCCAACATTTGTGATCTTTTCTTCCTTTAGGAATCTCAGCAGTCCAGTTTTGGCACTGGAGAACAGAGTGAGTATATTAAACTCCTTGGAATATGTTTAATGCTATTGTTGACATCCATGATTCTCAGCATCTCCTAAGATGTCATGTTTTTTAGGGAATGAGATTTTCCAGACTGGTAATAAGATGGAGTCTACTTTCTCAAGTTTTAAGCTATAAAACAATTGCTTGATTTCCTTTTGTTTCTTTGTTCAGATATAGAAAGTTATCACTGAGTTGCAAGGGTGTTGTGTTCTAGGAAAAAATAACTATTTTTAATTGATCACATTTTCTAATTCTTGAAAAAATGCTTCCATGGTTGATTGAATTGAAAATAGCTGAGTATTAAACCAAAACACTTTTACAAAACCCAACTCCCTGCTTGGGGACATATTGGAAACTGAAATAGTGCTTTTGCTTATATTCAGTAGAAAAAGGACGTTGCAGTTTCACTCTTGGTTTTCACTTCGACATTTTAAAATCAGGAGAGAGAACTGGTCAAGAACTCATATAATATGCTTAGTAATATCCTTGAACTTCTTGTCCCAGAATGCATTTTTGGATTTTAGACAAAAGCAGTTTTATTTCTTTTAACTGTGTAATTATTTTGAATATTGCTGAAAGTAACACTTAACACAGGTAACATACCAGCTAAAAGTGAAATCCATTTGTTCTGTTACCTTCCAAAAGTCTTTCCACTCCTTCTTGAAGTGATTAAACAGCTTAAATAGTAAAAGAAGAATGGTTTATTCTTAGATATTCACAAGCAGCTTAATGTGAACACCTGATACAGTGGGGATTTAAGGAAACAAATTAAAGCTTAATTCCATAATGCTAAACCATAGGCTCACGTTATAGGAGCAGCTGATCTTTAGGTGTGTAAAGGAAGAGGAAGGTTAATTAAAACACAGAGCCAGTTTTCAGCTCCAGTTTGGATTTTCTGGAAAGCTTTAAACAGTCTCAGTTCTTGTTTCTGTTGAGCTACACTCAGTTATTTGCCAGGATTAAAGAAGAGGGAAGGGGGAAAAAAACCAAACTGAAAAGCAGATGATATCAGTGTGTATTCCTGTTGTCAGAATTGGTGTTTCAGAAAGATTTTGGGATGTGGAAGTTGCTCATCCACTCAAAAGCTGTGTGGGGATGCTGAAACAGTCAGAGCTCAATAGACAGATCTATATCCCATATCCTCCATGTAGAAAGCAATAGTTTAATCTTAGTAGAAGCAAAACAGATTTCACAACATTAGTAACAAACTGTGTATTCATTTAGACAACAATGATTTAAATGATTTTCTTGATTAATTTATTGGCTGTATTTAGTACTTTGCCTTGGCGTTCCCTCCCTCCTTCAGTCTGTGGGAGGTTGTACCTTGTGTCACCTGGTTACTGCTCCTTCCTGTCCCCTCAGCTGTTCATGGTTTATCCATGACTGTATCCTTGTGACAGCTTTGGAGTGACTTCTTTTACTGCCAGAGTTTTCAACTGTGCATTTCTTTTTCTCTTCCTCTAGAACGATACAATCCTTCGTCCAAAACATCCAATGGTCATCAATCCAAATCGTAAGTAGCTGTTGAGAAAACATTTCACAAACAACAGTCATATTTTAAGAGATTTGGAAAATAGCTGTTAGTAGAATGTGTCAGCTCTTGCACAGACACTTCAGCATCCTCTCCTTGGCTGGCAGGAGAAGGGGATCAGCATGTGAGAGTGGGCAGGACAGGACTTACCAAACATGTGCCTTGCAGAGCTGTCAGCTGGAAGCAGCTTGTAGGTGTCACAAATACAGGATAAGGAAAGGTTTTGGATTGGAGGAGACAGAAAACTGTGTCTGGGATCTTGTGAGGTTTGTTCTGCTCAGTCTATTAATTCACTGACGAATGTTTCCATTAGTTATGGACACGGACACAGCAACACAGAAAAATTTAAAAGCAACTGGAATATTTTAGATGGCTGTAGTCCACCTTTCTCATACCTAAAAATCAATTATATGCAGTTAAAAGATTGTTTCCAAACACATATACCCATAAAAATAAATATTTACTGGCTGATTGTATGTTAATGAAAGTAGAATCTGAAAACTTACTCTCTGTTACCATTTGTTGGGATGCAGTCACAGAATTAAGTCTGGTTCTTCTGCCACTGAATTGGCAAGATTAAAAAGCACGTGACCTATGGAAAAGAAATAGAACAAAAAGAAACCCCCCTCAATTAATGTAGATTTACAGTAAGTTTCCCCAAAACATGCAGTTTAAGAAGATGCTGAGAGGAACTTTGCTGTTTCCAAAGATGGGAAACATGAGGACATCTGAGAACAAGAGGCAAGATTGAACACATGCTGAGCTGGGATGCATGGGAAGAAAGTTTAGATGATGTTTACTGTGACAATTCAGCTTTAAATGATTTTTTTTTTTTTTAAAGTGATTATGATCTGGTAAAAAAAGCCTCTAAAAAGGAGATAACTGCATCTTTTCGAAAAGGATAGCAGTGACAAATATTTCAGGAACACGATCCTAGAGGCGGGTATTCCTTTCCAGATCATCAGTAGGAACAGCTCTACTGTGAAACTCAGAAGTGTCAGACTTTTTAATCCTTTCTCATTTTCTTTCTGCAGATGCGAATCAAACCAGACAGAGTAAGATGTTTTATTTTTATAATCAAATATATTTCTCCCTAAACATAAAAGCCCTGTTAATATGTTTTCAGTGTGCTCATGTATTTTCAGTCTTGTGAAATAATGTATGTATGACTACCATAAGTAATTATTGCTTTGAATAATAATAATTAATTATGGCTTAGGACAGTTGCACTGTTGCCACAAGACAGGAAGCAGCCACTGGTGTTGGCTTTCTTTATTCCATTTAAAACACTGTTCTTGGCCATTGTGTGTAAGAAGTTGAACATATACAAGTTACCTCCTCCCACATCAGTAAATTGTGTCAAATTTCCTTTCTAAATTTAGCAGAATGGACTAAGGAGTCAAAGTACCTGAATCCTTATTCTTCTCTAAAGAATGACTCAGCTCACCATTCTTAAACATGAAATGTTTGAATAGTATCTGGTGGCTTTCACCCACGCAGCCTCTCTGTAGGATAAACAGTGGCATGTTGAAATCTAGAAGAATGCTTTGAAAGTAATTAAAGTACCTGGAAAAACTTGTCTCACTTTCTCCCTTTTACTTAGTATGTTGAAAGATGACTTAAAACTCAGCAGTAGCGAAGACAGCGATGGAGAGCAGGTATGTGCCTTAAATCAGAGTTCCAGAAAAACACTGAATTCATTCATGGTTCAGTCCTGCAGCAGGATCAGGTCCCAGCAGCAAACTGGGCAGTTTAACAGGAGATTTGGGATTAAGAAACTAAAATCTAGTGGAATGTTTTTAGGCAAACCTCAGGTATTCCTAAATGTAATCTTGGGGGGAAATTGTTTTGTGAAAACATTATGCTTTTATCTAGAAATTCTTGTTTACTGATTTCACGTGGGCTTTCTCTGAACACCAAATGGCAACAGCGTACTTTAGAACATAAATAATGGCTCATTATTTAGGATGGGGCCCTCATGTTCTGCCATTCCAGCTAAAGAGTTCATGGTGTAAACATCTCTGTGCATTGGTACCTTGGGACTGTGTTTGGGATGATAAGAGGTGCTCTATATGTCAGTGGGAGTACAGCAGCACCTTTATTTTTATAAAAATAAATCTCTTTTTTACTCTTTTTGGTATTAACTTTATGCAACTTCTACCAGAAATGGCCCTTAGCATGTGAAATAAAAATACCTGTATGTCTGTGCTGCCTAGCAGTAACTTCACTCCTCTGGTGTTTCTTTTCTTCATGTTCCCAGTTCTAGTACTTGACTTTATTCATGTGGAAAACTTGGAGATAATGCATTTAGTCAGTGAACTCCAAGTACCCTGGGCATTTTGGGATTTCAGCATTGTGAAATGCTGAATCATCTGATTCAAAAAGATGGAAACGTGTTATTAATTAGTGGTAGAAATGGGAATTCTCACAAAGAATATAGAAATTTGTGGTGAAAACCTGGAGAAAATAACTCTTGCTTTTCTTTCTGTGTAAGGAAAAAGCAGATAAATTTAAGCTGCTGCAAATACTGAATGAAGATGCTATATTAAAAAAATGAAAGGCTCTAAATTGATGTCTTGCAACTTAATTGTATATACAAGCCTAAAATGACTTCTAGAAGCTTCATGCTGTTTTTCTTAATTGCAGGACTGCGATAAGACAGTGCCAAGGAGCACACCTGGAAGGTAGGAATTCCTGGGGGATTGCAGCATAGGAAAGAGAGGAAAGATATTCAGCCTAGTCAGCAGTCTTGGCTTGAGCTCATTTCCAAAATTCATATTTGTTCTTTGTCTTGTATTAAAGCAAAAGGTGATTATAATTTAATCGGTGATTAAATAGTGTCTATCCTGCAAATTACACTGACCACTTTGGGAGGCAGGGAAAAACCAAAGTTTGGTTGTTTCCACAATGAACTGTGTTCAGTTATGTTGCATTTTCTAGTAAATATTAATTAAAATTTTATATTTTGTAATTTCTAATGAAAGGAGTTCTAGGATGTATCTGGGGCTTGGGTAATGTTTGTTTTTCACCATTTTTCTTTCAGTAATTCTGAACCTTCCCAGCATAACAGTGAAGGAGCAGATAACTCCAGGGATGACTCGAGCAGCCACAGTGGCTCTGAAAGCAGCTCAGGATCTGACTCGGAGAGTGAAAGCAGTTCCAGTGACAGTGAAGCCAATGAACCATCCCAGAGTGCATCCCCCGAGGTAGGGTTTTGCCCATGCTTGGCATTAATGCTCAGCTTTAACACAGGAAAGATGAATAAATTCTCAAACTGTTGGAAAAAAAAAATAGACCAACGTGGATTCTTTTTCAGGCTGGACTGTTCTTCTGCCGAAGGACCTGTAGTTGGGTATGACAATTCTCTATATAAACAGACACCTGGTGTTTAAATTTGAGGTGGTCTGTACCACCAGTTGTCTGTTGGAAAGCAGAAGTTAAATAACATACCTTAAAAAACTATGACATCAAATACTGCCTGTTGATAGCAGCTGCTCCAGATGAAGGGAAAGTTGAGCTGTTATTTATACCGGTATTTCATTTGTTATTTATCTCAGGTGTTTGGGTGCACCTCTTGCTTTGGTGTGCAGCATCATACAGCTATCCCATGGAAAAGATGGAAGAAATGCAATGAAAAATGAAATATCTTCTCTAACTCTGTTTTTTAATTTGTTTTTAGCCAGAGCCACCACCGACAAACAAGTGGCAACTGGATAACTGGTTGAACAAAGTCAATTCCCATAAAGTGTCACCAGCTTCTTCCGTGGACAGCAATATTCCATCCTCCCAAGGCTACAAAAAAGAGGGACGGGATCAGGGCACAGGGAGTGGGTACACTGATCAAGGTGGATCCAAGGATTCCATTTCTTCTACACCAGGGAGAGATTCCAAACCCACCCAGAAGGGCTCGGAGAGCAGTCGGGGCAGGCAGAAATCGCCTGCCCAGAGTGACAGCTCGGCACAGAGGAGGACTGTGGGGAAAAAACAGCCCAAGAAAGCAGAAAAGACATCTGTGGAAGAGCCTAGAGGAGGTCTTAAAATAGAAAGTGAAACCCCAGTAGATATGGCAACAAATATCCCTTCAAACAGGCATAAGGCGGCCACAAAAGGCTCCAGGAAACCCAATATAAAGAAAGAGCCCAAGTCTTCCCCTCGGCCTACGACAGAGAAAAAGAAATACAAGGCTTCAAGCAAATCTGCCCAGAAATCCAGGGAATTCATCGAAACAGATACCTCATCCTCTGATTCAGATGAAAATGAGAGTCTGCCTCCTTCATCACAAACACCCAAATACTCTGAGAGCAATAGGACTCCTGTTAAATCTTCCATGGAGGAGGATGACAGCTTTTTTCGGCAAAGAATGTTCTCTCCTATGGAAGAGAAAGAGCTTCTTTCACCACTCAGTGATCCTGATGAAAGGTACCCACTCATTGTGAAGATTGACCTGAGCCTCTTATCCCGAATACCAGGGAAGCCTTACAAGGATGATGCACCCAAAGTGGAGAAGAAAAGCGCCCCGGAGAAGCACCCCAGGGAATCCCAGAAACAGCCGTCGGACAAAAGTTCTACAAAAGGCAAAAGGAAACACAAACAGGTGATAATTTTGTAGAGAGATTTGCCTGTTACCTCAGCCCACAGTGGATTGTGTGTATCCCAGAACCCAGATCACACCTCAGTGTAGCAACTGAGCGATTTAGGAATGGCTTTGCTACCTGTTTGTGTAGAACACATGGATCATCCCTGTGCTCTTATGGACGAGACTGTTGGGATTTTCTTTTGGAGGAAGGACATCCCTGTAGCAGTGTTTGTTAGCCCTGTACCCAGAGGTCATGGAGGTGACACACATTCTGTGCCTCTGAGCTCTGCATCCAGCCCTCTCCTGCTTCCCCTTGACCTGGCACCAGCTCCTCGTGCCCTGCAGGCCAGCATAGGCAGCTGATCCAGTGGAAAATCCACCTGGGTAAAAACCCCCCAAAAAGTCAGTTTTCATCTCAGTCAGCTCCCTGAACTATGGAGTTGGCTACTGCCAGGATAAGGGATGAGGCAGGACTGCACCTTGGGCGTGGCAGCAGCAGAAAACATCATCTTGGGGTGCTGCTTCACTGGGAGCAGGGGATCTCTCCATAATAATATTCAGTCTTTTTCAGAAAAAGCATTTAATGTCTTCAACTATAAGTAAAAAGCAAGGGTGGCTGGAGGCAGTAAAATGGAGAGGAATCAGTGGAGGAATAGTACTCTTGGGAGGAATATGTCAGAAGTAGTTGATGGTGTAATTTTAAACTGCTTTTAGAAACCTCAACACACGGACAGAGCAAACGTGGGACTGTCAGATGGACTGAGTGATCCACTTTCAGTTTTTATAAACATCTGGTGTCTGTGAATTTAGGGCCATGAAACCCTGGATCGGGGATTCAGAAATCCCTGTGCTACTCTGGATTTTACTCTGATTTTGACAGGGATTTGGCAGTGGTTGTGAGACTTTGTTGACATCTGCAATCCAAGGATTCTGTGAAATCATTGAGAGAGTCATTTGAGGGGATAGATAGTTTCAGTTAAACCAGTTTTCCCACTGAGTAACCAAAGTAAACTTGATCACTTGCTGAAATTAATGTCATCTGGGAGACTTGACATGTAACCACAAACAGAGGTTTGTCCTCTATTTTCCTAACTAAGTTTCCTGTTTTCTCTAGTTGAAGAAATGAAGTCAGAAAAAGAGGGTTTTTTGTAAAAAGGGGATCACACTGACCAGCACAGTGAATAATTTTGCAAGTGTTGCTGTATAATTCCTGATGTTCCTGAGAATGCACTTGCATGCTCCAATGGGTCTGAATTCACTGACTTCTCTTTCTTTGATCAGTTACACCTTTCAGTACACATTTGGAGTTAGAGCATTAAAGATCTGTGCTCTCACATCTAAACCAGAAAGCTTTGGTAAGACCAATTAATTTAGGCTTTATCCCAGAAAACAGTCTGATGTTTCATTTTTGGGAAGCCTCTGATTACTGTGAGGCTTCCTGGTGCCACCAGAGAGGATGGAATCCTGTGTGAGGCAAATAAAGAACTCCCCTTTTCCCCGTCCCTCCAGTTTTAGGTTTGAGTGCTCCAAACACAACTGGTACCACAGGTCTACTCATTGTTTGCTCTTGTGTTTCCTTGGTCACAAGGCTCAGGGTTGCAGCATCAGTGTCACAAAACAGAAACCTTTTGGGTCTGAATGTGGGATGTGTTACCAGGGGATTTCCTCTGTGGCCTCATTTTCCGTTTATTCACTGTATTGATCCCTCAAGTGCTCCATGAAGACACTTGAGAAATTCATCTTCAAGATCCTTTGACTTCAGGATTAAAATGTATATAAATATATAGTCTTCAACATCTCTGAGCTTAATTTAATAGACTGATTAGATTTTTACCCTTTCCTGGCATTCATAAGACACTCTTTAAACCCTACAACATAAAATCTGTCTCCTGATCTTTGCCAAAGCCTTTGGCAGATTTTTCTTGTATTTCATGATGATAATATATTTGTGCTAAAATGAACAACTTGGCTGCTACTGCTTTTATGCAGGTTGTAGTTTAGTAGCCAGACTTGGTTTTTCATTTTGTTCCAATATCAGGGTCTGGTCAAATATTTGATAAGGATTAGATGCTGTAGGTCATGTTTTTGTGGTCTGTGTGTATTTTACTCTGTACACTGTAAAACACCTGCTAAATAGGGTCTCTTAATGTGAAATATTGCCACTGTCAGTGAAGCTGTAAAAGTGGATATTTCCTGGATGTATTTCTTGTTTGCTTTACTCAGAATGAGGATGAAAACAGAGCCAGTGAAAGCAAGAAAACGAAACTGGAAGAAAAAGCTCCATCAGGACACAAGACTTCCAGCAGTAGGGAGTGAGTATCTTGGCTGTTCCCAACACTGAAGGCTCAGGGTTGTCACAGAGAGGATGGTGCCTGCCTGCACCCTCTTCTCCACTCCCCTACCACAAGTGTTTCCTTAATCATTTAGTAAAATTTCATTATTTCTTACCTTCAAAAAAATTTATTTCAGAGTTTCTAATATTAGTTGGTGGAAATTAATTTTCATACCCAAAAACATTGGCCAAAGACAATTGTGTTACTTAACAGAAGTCAGGTGATTGCTTCCTGGTTTTCTCTAATACACAGTGGAGTTGGTTTTGGTTTAGAAAGCAGCTCTGCAGCTGGCTTTTTGATCTTGCAAAATCTGTGCTTTTAAATTAACTCAATCTGGTAATTCTTCATTTAGCAAGTTTGTAAACTGGGAGTAAATTGCACAACTGACTTTGTCTTGGAAGCTGATGGCACTGAGCTTTGGATCCATGGATTTAGCCTCTATCAATTTAGCTTGGAACTTTAGCTAAAGAAAAGAGAGAGTGACCCAAAAGCAAAGTAATACGGAAATAGCAAATCAGCAACACTGTTTAATATGTTATTTCTGAATTTCCCGTGCTTTTTGCAATTGATTTATTTGATTTATTTCTTGATCAGTGTTAATTCACAGAAAAGAGTAAATTTTTTCCACTGCCTTTTGAAAACTGCTGTTTCAGTTCAGGCAATTGAAAACTGGTGTAATTGTGCCATGGATAATATTTCTAGTGAGTAATTGCCAAATTACAAATATGTGAGAAGCTGCAGCACATCAAATGTTACAACTCTTCTTTGCCCCTCCTGAATTAAACAGTGTCTTAGTGTTTGTTAGGAAGCAGATGTGGAATGAAGGCACACATTTCTAGCTTGATTTTGCTTTTTCACCTGCTATTTCTGATATTTCCTTGATTGCCAGTGCAGTTCTCTGAAGGACACTTAATTAAATGAAACTCTATGATTTTATAGGAATAATGTGTAGAAATAATAATTATGGGAAGCCAGGAATAGCCAACAGCATCCCTCAGCAGCCAAAGTAAGACTGTCCTGAAAGGCTGCACTGAGGAAGTTTTCCCATTCCCTGGGTTCCAGTGATTTATCTGGAGCATCTTTCCCTGGAGCTGTTGGCTGGCTGGTCTGCACAGACAGCCTGGCGCTGACATTGGCTTGCAGTGCTGAAATTGTGAGTGTTTAGGGTGTTTTTTTTAAGAACTGGTGTAGGGGTGTGGTTTTATGGTTAGAACTTGTCTAGTTTTGCCTGTGTTTTCAGGTCAGAACAAATAAAATGGTGAAAACGAGTTCAATCTGGCTTTGAAGAAATTTATTCTCCAAAATTATTCTCCTTTTCTCCATAGCTGGTTTGCCAAGTCTTGTTTAAAAACCAAGGGTTTTTCAGTTTAAAAGTTAAAAATCGAAGTTTTGTGTGTTGGGTTTTCTTGGGTTGTTTTTGTTGGGTTGGTTTTGGGTTTGGTTTTTTAAGGAAAGAAACCCTAACCCTGAATTTGTTCCTTTTGTGCAGGTCTTCAAAGCCAAGTGCTGTTAAAGAGAAGGATTTACTGCCATCTCCTGCTGCCCCAGTCCTACAGAAAGATTCCAAGCAGGAACACGGGTCCCGGAAGAGGACGGTCAGTCAGTCATCATCCTTAAAATCCAGCAGCAACCCAGGCAAGGAAAGCAGCAGTGGCAGCAAAAGCAGCTCCTCTTCCAAACAGAAGAAGACAGAGGGGAAGGGTTCCAGTAGTGCCAAGGAAGCCAAGGTAAAGGGCTGACTCTGTACATGCCTTAAACCTCCTGCTTTGCTCTGCAGTTTGATCTAAACAGTTTTTAGTTCAAGTTAAAATGTAATTAATATTAGATATGCATTGTTTTGTGTCATAGTGCTTAGGTGCCTTGGAAATCCATAAGTTAGAAAACACTTCGGGGGAGAGGTGGAATACTAATGATTATCCTGCAAATTCTTCTGTTAATTGATTAAATTAGTTTAGTCTTAGTCATCTCCTGGTGACTGATGCTGCCTGTGTATTAATTGGTTAATGAGAAATATCGCTAGAAAGCTGTCTACACACTGGTAAATGGAACAATGAAGTTGCTCTTGTCTCCTCAGAGCAGATATAGAACTTGTCCTGGTTTTGCAGGAGAGCAGGAGCTTGGTCCATGCTCAGTGCTGGGCTGGGAAGCTGTAGCTCTCATTTTATGACATTGTAAGAGCTCAGAAAGATAATTTTAACTCCAGCTCAGGAATTTACAGTGCTCTCTGTGGTTGGGGGGAAAAAACATGGTTATGAAGATGGTGCAGCAAATGGTTTTTAAGAGATTTAGGTTGAGAAGATGTTTAGATGTGATGGAATTTAAAAATATAAATGTCCCAAAGCCAGTTGTATGTTTGTGATATGTTTGTCATTTTATACTTCAGCTGTGCTTACTCATACCTTTCTCAGAGTAGTACCTACTCCTGTGGGGTTTTTTTTCAAGGCAAATGCATTCAGCAGAGTGTGTTGTTTATAGAAATGAGAAATTAAAATCCTCATCATCTCTTTGTTAGAGTGGAAGAGCAAAATTTAGAAACAGTGACATGGGAGATTGAGGGAGGAATTTCCTGGATCTAAGTGTGTTTGGAAAGCCTTGGCTGCGTCCTTCCCTCTGATGGAGAGGGTTGGAGTGAGGAGCTCCATCCCAGCCTGGTGTCTGCTCTGTGCCAGCATTAGGTGGGAGCCTCCTGGAAGTTGATTATTTATTCCCTGTGCTCAGTGGCAGCTCAGGCAGCTGCAAACTGTCCTTGTTGCATAGAACGTGTGAAGTCAGGGGAGAAATTTACACAACAAATGCTTCTCTTGAAGGCAGAGGAAATTTAACTGTTCTTTAAATGTATTATTTGGCATTGATTTCCCTTTCAGGAAAAGATTGTGAACAATTCCTCCAGCTGCCCTCCTGCCTCTGCTCAGGCTACGGAAAGTGCAAAGTCAAGGAGAGCAAAGCTCGTTTTTGATGATAGGTAAGAACAGAAAATTGCCTTTCCCTCTCTGTGGCTGCAGATCTCAAGCACAACCAGCTCCTCATGGAGAAGAGTTGTCATTTTGCTTCACAAAAGATCTGACATGAAAGCTCTTTGTCAAAGAAAATACCTCGAAAGGAAAATAAAACAAATACTTCTTCATCTTGTGCAGACTTTAGGTTTCATTTGTGCCAACTCAGATCTCAGCACAAGGTTTACTCTGAAAGCACTTCTTTAAATTCATTCTACAGATGAAATTATGTTTGGACCAAATATAATTGTAGCTTTCTGGTTAAAAGCTCTTTAGAAATAGAAAAAAGTTGAGCACATATGATGGTTAGGATACACAATCATTTAGGACAAAACAGTTTATGGGGATTTTGTGATTATCCCAAGATATAACAGAGCCAAGAAATTGAGATAAGATCAAACTTATTAAAAAATTAAAACCTGAAATTGTATGGAAGTATAGGAAGCCATAAGGAGAGTCTACTGCAAGGAACAGTAATTGTGACATGTTCTAACCTTGTGGTTATAACAGAGCCATTTTAGGATTTCGTCAGATTAGAACTGATTGAAACAATTTTACAGTTATAGAATCTTGTTAGTATTAACTGTTGCTTTGTAATGACATCAATTTCCTGTAAGGGGTCTGGTAAAAATATTAATTTCAAATATCTTTAATTCTTTGACAAGTAAGATAGGATGGATGGGATAATTTATTGCAAACTTTAATCAACTTGTACGGAATATGTTAATGCATTGAAATGAATCATTACACTTTTATGACTCCTTGTGCTCATCTAGTTGAGGAAATCGTTTAGCATTGATTGTCCCAGGTGGCAAAGCAAAGGCAATTAACACCTGAATGCATCTTGATTTATTCTGTCATAATTTTAATATATTTCACACCCTTAGCAATGTAAGTCCTGACGGTGCTGGTTTAATTTGCCCTCAAATTTTGTGGGTTTTTTCCTTCCCATGCCCTTGTTGTTGGTCAAGTGTTTGGTTTGCTTGGCTGTCAAATGCGGTAAATTGAACTAATTCATGTGTGGTAATCAACTTGCTTGAAATACTTTTTGAATTACCTGAAACTAGAGAACTAATTTGAAACTATGTAAACAGTTTTATCATAGTGTTTCTTGAGTTAGGAACAGAAAAAAATCTGAAATTTGGCAACGCCAAGAAGCTTCAGTAATAAAAGGCCATGAAATATGGGTGGGGCTGAGTCCCTAAATCCATGTCCTCTCTTACAGGACTTACTCAGCTGATCATTATTTGCAAGAAGCAAAGAAGCTGAAACACAATGCAGATGCTTTGGTAAGTTAATCTCCAACATTACCCAGTGTTTGCACGTTATCCTGGGGTTGGTTTGCTGCCTTTGCCATTTTGCTGCCCTTCTGTACTGGAACTTTCCTGTACTTCTCTCTGCTTTTCGTCCCTAAAAGTGTCTCTCCCCTCTCTGCAGTCGGACAGGTTTGAGAAGGCCGTGTACTACCTGGATGCTGTCGTGTCCTTCATTGAGTGTGGGAATGCATTGGAGAAAAATGCTCAGGAATCCAAGTCCCCGTTCCCTATGTATTCAGAAACTGTGGAATTAATCAAGTAAGCATTGCAAAGCACATACAAAGGCAAGTGGGTGGGGAAGGGGCCTGGGAATCAGAGCTGTCAGATGGACTGAGGTTTGGCCACCAGCTTTTGAGATCTGTTGTCATTCCCCGCTAAAACTGGATCACTGACCAGTTTGTTCCAGTTGCTGAGGTTTGAAGTGTTTCCATGAAGGTTGAGATGGTTTCTGCTAAGGCTCTTGAAGCCTCTCTACAACGAGTAACCCATGAGAAGCAAAATAATTCCGTTTACTGCCCAGTTAGTGTTTTGTTTAGAGTCTGAGAGAGGTTCCTAAAATGGTGAAGACAATTGAAATCAGAGATTCATAAGCGTGTCAGTGTTTTGTGATTGATAAATGAAACTGTAATTTTTACTTTGTGGTTCACTTGATGCCTTTGTTTGCAGATACACTATGAAACTGAAGAATTACTTGGCACCGGATGCGACGGCTGCGGACAAAAGGCTGGCAGTGCTTTGGTACGTGTGTTCTGCACTTCTTACAGTGCCCTGATGGATTTCACATGTTTTATCTGCATGAAGTGCTGTGTTCCACTGAGCTCTGGGGTGTTTCTGAACCAAATACATGAGGTTTTCACTTGGCTGTACATAAAGATTTATGCTGTATATCTGATTGCTGTAAATGGGGGCAGAGGGGATGTTCATGAAGATTAAGTCTTTGAAACACTAAGGAGTAACAGCAGAGAGGATGGGGGTCCATCCTGTGCACTTCCAGGGATAAGTCACCATTTGGACTGGCAGTAAGAACTGTCAGTAGCCCTGTAGGTTTTAATGGAATGTCTGCAACAGGTATGGAGGACAGGAACCCCTTGGTTCAGGGGGAAGGGAAAGGGGAGGCCATGGCAGAGTGCTCAGAATGTCCTGACACAGGTGAAAAATAGAGGAAACCCTTGTCTAGGAAATCACTGTATTGTCTCCCAAGCTCATTATATCAGCAAAATCACTGAAAGGTAAAGTTTCAGCTTGAGGCTTATGAAGCTGTTTCAGTTTCCTTGAGAATTTAAAGGTGGTTGTGGATTTTCTTGGTTGAGTTGGTAGAGAAAACTTTAAGAGCACAGCTGTTAGATTTTTGAAACCCACTGAGTTATGCTAAACCTGACCTTGACTGTTTTTTGTCCTGTCTGTGGTCAGCCTTCGGTGCCAAGCTCTGCTGTACCTGAGGCTTTTCAAACTGAAAAAGGAAAGTGCATTGAAATACTCAAAAACTCTGACTGAACATCTGAAGGTAATTGCAGGTGTATTTACTTAGAACATTAAAACCTAATGATATTAAAGCTCTACATCATTTAAAATTCCCAGATCCAATTTTCAGACCTCTACATGTGAACTTGGAATATACCCATTTAGAACTGAACCTTGAAAGTATATTAAAAGTTGAATAGTTTAAAGCTGGGCAGAGACAGCTTGGATGTCATAACCCTGCTGGTCTGGGCATGTCAGTTCTCTGTTAATTTTGTTTTCTTTAATAAATTTGGGAGATCTTTTAATTGTTCAATGCCAGTAGTAACAGATTTCATTCTATTAAAAGGCTGAAAAAACCAAAATGTTCCCGTAAGGGACAGTGGTATCTAATGGTTAGAGCAGAGGACCACTCCAGTCCTTCTTTGTGTTGCTAAAATAACCCCTTAATTCATGTCTTAAGTCATTAGGAAAAAAGGATCTTTTCCCAAATTTCAGTTGATAAATACTGTGATATTATTGAGAATGTTGCTTAAAAGAAAAACTACAAAAATCAATTTGGTCAAAAATAACCAAGTAAATAACCAGATAAAATGTAACTAGATAAATTATAAACATAAATCAGGTGACAAATGTCTTTTTCTCCAAACAGAATTGCTACAATAATTCTCAAGCACCATCACCTGGTATGGGAAGGTGAGTAGTAAAAGCTGTTACCTGTATTTCTCAACTTCTGGCACATTTTCTGTATTCCCTGCGTGCCTGAGGTGCTCAGAGAGCAGCTTTTGGGGTAATAGTTCTAAGGGTGTGGATTTTGATTTATTTTTTGTGTAATTATTCTGAGAACAGAGACTGCTGCTGGTGATGTTGCTGTGCAGGCTTTGTCAGGCAAAAAAAGGGTCATTAACCCACAAGTTACTTATCTCACTGAGTTTTGTTGTTTACTTTAGTACTTTTCCCCCCAAAACAAGAGCTTTATCAGTGCTACAAGTCCAAATGGTTACAAGTACTTGCAGCACTGTCTGTCCCCTAGTTTTGCAATTTACTTCTGTTCTTTTAAACCCAAAAATGGACTTTTGATAAATCTTTCAATGAGTTTTAGGAGGGCATTTCAGATTTCCATTGTGTTATGTGCAGTAATATTATATAATGTAATTATATAATGTAATATTATGGCAGTGTGGTTACCAGGTAGTTGTAATTTTTTTCATTCTTTAAGGTTCAATTTATTCAAACAATGAATTGAAGATTTTATTGAATTAAGAGGTGAAGATGTTTGGTAATTGGGTTTTGTAAGCTACAAGTAAGAGCTGAAGGATCCTCAGCAGTTACTACCTTGAGCATTTAATTTGTTGTAGGGCAGATCCTGATTTTTGATGTGTAAAGTGGGAGTGCTCGATCATCCCACACCCTCAGTGTGGGCAGAGGGGTCTTGGAGGGTGTCTCACAGCATGAGGTGTTGAAAGTTCGTGTATTCATGCATTTCCAATTTAATCTTTCCCTTTGGGTGAGCAGCAAACCTGTTGGGATGCCGTCTCCAGTGTCTCCAAAGCTGTCTCCAGGGAATTCAGGAAATTACTCTTCTGGGGCAGCCAATCCTTCAGGGAGCGGGTCCTCGGTGACGATCCCACAGAGGATCCATCAGATGGCTGCCAGTTATGTCCAGGTCACGTCCAACTTCCTCTATGCCACTGAAATTTGGGAACAAGCTGAACAGCTGGCAAGAGAACAGAAAGGTAAGGAGTGGCACAGGTACTTTATAACCTCAGGCATTCCAGAGGGTGCAAACACTCCTGGGCTTTCGATTTTGGAGAGGTAGTTAATGGTGTCCAGGATGCTGAACCAGGTCCTCTGCAAAATAAGGTAGAAAGTTACACCTTGGATTGAAGGAATTACCTGAGCTGGGTGTTGTGGTTGTCAAGGTGGTGTTGGAGATGTAAAAATCTTAGTTGCATTTCCTGTAAATTGTTCAGTGTAGGAAGAGGAACTTGGTGTATTTCCCGTTCTGAAATTCTAAAGTGAAGTACATGTTTGAGGGGGAAAGCCAAGGAAGTTTGACAATAGTTGAATAGTCTTATCATTTCCAACCAGTCTTCTGCAAAAGAGTAAAGAAATTTATCAGGAAAAATCTTTTTTCCTTTACTCTTCCACCACTCAGCCATCTCTCATCACTCCTGTTTCTCTTAATCCAAAAGCTTCACGCTGAAAATACAGGGCGGTCGGGTGTTGTATTTCCCATATTCCCAAATGTGCTTATTTAACTCGTGTTTCTGTTGTTTTAGAGTTCTTTGCTGAACTGGATAAAGTTATGGGCCCTCTGGTTTTTAACACGAGCATCATGACCGAGCTGGTGCGTTACACCCGGCAGGGCCTGCACTGGCTGCGCCTCGATGCCAAGTGAGGCTGGAACTGAAGGAACCCAAAATCAAACCCATTTTTCTCGCTGCCTCTGATTTCTCTCCACAACACTGTGTCATGTCAATAAGGAAGACTGCCATAACACATTGCTTAGTTGACACTAAGAGCAAGGAATGCTTTCCCATGTCTCCCATCCTCATTTGTGTTTTGTGTTTAACCCCAAATCAGCTGGTTCATGGACTTCTTCAGTATTCCCGGTTTAAGTTATTTAAATATTTTAAAATTTGCTACATGAAAGTTGTAGTTTTGCTGATCTGTCATGGATAGATCATTGGAATTCCAGTCACAATACACAAATAGTCAGTTTAAATCCTATTTATTTTAATTTTTGTAATTTTAATTTTGAAAAGCCCCATTGGGGGCCGGTTTTAGCTATTTCTTCTTCCCTAAATTTTCCCTTTTGAGTACTTAGAAATTAAACCTAGACACTTTATTTAAGTACTTTGTGAGCTTTGTTACTCTGTAATGTCTTGTGGTGATAGAGCCTGTAAAAGGAACTAGGGTTGATAGGTTCTAACGTGTAGGGACACCATACTTCTCATGCCTAATGCCTATGAGTCGACTAATAAATGACAACTACAGATTTATTATTGCAGAATTTGTACTAAATAGAAAAGTTCCAGATATTCTTCTACGTATTGAGATACTTCATTTAAATGAATTATAAAGAAATTTATATGGAGAAATATTTAGCTGGATCTGACTTGGATTGTTTTCAAGGCAGTTTCAAGCCATCGATTAACACTATAACAATCACAAAACATTACAGTAATTTGCATTTAATGTAACATCCAAGTAATGGTGTAGGAATGACCTTCAGTCCGATGGGTGCGATGCAAACAGGAAAGGCTTTGGAAAAGGACAATCTTGTGCTTTTTTGCATCTCTTCATTTAAAATACCTTTTGTTTCCGTGCTTGTCACTTTTTGACACTTACAAAATGGGTGAACTTTGTGGTTAAAACTCAACAGTAGTTAAATTCCTACCAGAACTGTCATTTGCATCTTTTCCATTGACTGAGAAACCAGGAATCTTTAGTAGAACTCGAGGTCCATTTTGTCTTCTTGGGGTCTGCTGGGTGATGGACACTACAGGCTGGCAGTGCTGCAGCCACCGTGGGGTGGAAGCTCACCTGCTCCTGCAGGGAAACGACTGTTCTGGTGCAGAATGGATCTAAAACTTGGCTTTACCCCGTGGTAATGAAGGTCCTGTTAACATTTGATGGAGCGTAACATTTGCTCGGTGCAACACAAATGGTTCTGGAGTTGCAGTTGGCTGCTCTCAGAGTGCAAACCAAAGTACCTTTCACATGAGGTGCTTGTCTGAGTAAAAGGTTTCAAATGCTACTGCTTTCAGTATTGCTTAGTGCCCCCAACATGTCTGGTGTGCCTTATGCCTTACTTTTAGATGAAGATTTTATGAACTGTTTACAAGATGTTTTACAGCAGGACCAGGTATACTGTATGCAGTGGTCTTCTGCAGTACTTGGGTAAAATTCCATTTCCTTTTTCCAAGTCCCAGTGTCTGTCACACAAACTGACTCATCGTGGTGGTCTCCTTTCCAAGAGTCCAACTCTGAATCCTTTGGAGTGAGATTGTGGAATGCTGCTTTGTTTTCTCTCCCATTGAACCCTTTATTCTGTACCAGATATGAACGTGCATGTTCAGGAAAATTATTGCACTAAATTTTTTGTGTAGGTGTAGTTAAGTGCCAAAATCACGGCAACCTCGAGAGAAGGAATAGAATTCTACGCTCCTTAGTACTGCAGTATGTCCTATGGGCTTTAAGAGTTTAGAAGTTTTGCAAATTAGTAACCTACTACAAGGTAGCTGCATATTCGTAGAGCTTCCTTTGCGTCCCAGCGTGTTTTGTACTTCCAGAAAAGCTTTGCTACGTCCGGATTGATACATTGAGTAACAGACCTGTGGTTTTCCCTGGTCGCTGAATTGACTCTTCAGGTCTGTTGGAGCATCCTTTTTATGGAATCACTGTGCAAGGTCACGTTTCTGTTAGTCTTTGCTGTTGGAGACAGAACTCTGTACCCTCAAACTCCCTGTCGTGGGCATGGGACACTGTCAGCTGTGTTTCCTTTCCTACTCTGAAGTGCCTCGCACACCTCTGACGCTGTAGAAATACCTTTGTAGAAGTTGCATTCATGGTTGGTTTTGTGTGTAGTGCTGCACTAGCCAGCATGGCTGTTCTTGGCTTGCTCCTTTGTGCACAGTCACCATTGCTCTCAGCAGGAATGGTCTCATCTCTGGGAATTTTTTTTTCCTTAACTAGAGTCCCACAAATACCTTTTGGTGTCACGCTAAATTGGTCTCCTAAAAATGCATCGCTTATCCCCAGATCATTGGATCTTAGAAATTGTCTTCAAATGGACAGGAGGCTTTTTGCATCATGTCAAAATGTGGACCTGAGCTGGTTGGAAGTGTCCCAGCTGAACAGGGTGCTCTGTGGTGGAATATCCTCTGGAGTGCTGTCCCATGTGTCCTGTTGGTGCAGGAGATCTGCAGTGGGCTTGGTAATGGATCAGAAATGCCTTGTGCATCTGGGACTGTTGCAAACAGATCAGTTTAGCCTTCACAATTCCAAAAGCGTATGTTAATTTGGGATCCACCATTGTTTCCAAGAGGAAAGTTATGAACTTAGTCAGATCTCATAGCCAAAAAAAATAAGCAAGTATGTCCTAGGTTTCAATCCCTCTGCCCAGGTGAGAGGAGGGTCTGTTCCTGTCCTTCCGCACCTCCAGCACCACAGTGGGAGTGCAGGTCACTGCAGCACCAACACTCATCTCAGTGGTGACTAAGGAGGGACTCCCCAGCTTCTGGCTTCCCAAATCATTCCCTGGACAGGTGTGTATTAATACGTATCAACACCGTAATCTTAATTCCCTCGCTGATCGTGGTCCCAGTTGGTGAATCTTAAGAATGGCTCAATCAGACTAGGCTTGCTCAGCTGTTTGACTTTGCTCTCAGACTTGCAGGTTCCAGGTGATAAGGTGCAACCATTTATAATTCCAAACAAATCTTCAGGACACCAGAGTAAACCAGCCCAAGAGTTTTGTTTTGATTTGAATCTCGTAGCCATAAAGCAGAGCGGGCGGATGGCTCTCCTTGGCTTTTGATGGCAGTATGCAATTTGTATTGTATGTGTCTTTTAATATGTATGTATATATATATGACTCAGTCTGTCCAAAGTATATGTTATACTTGTTTTTAGATTATGGTGCAACTGACTATATTGATATATTATTTATTGAGTGCTGAGTCACCATCTTATTGGTGATAAATATTGCATATTATCCAGGAGTGCAATGTATATTCCTTTAGATTGCTGAGGCTTGATTGCTGTGGTAACAAAAAATGCCCTGAAATGTATTTATGAATGGCCCCTACACACAGAGAGTCAGAATTTATGGGAATGATGTAGCACTTGCCTGGGGCAAGTAAAATAAGGCCGTAGGCAGAGAATTATGGAGTTTGCCCAAATGGCAAACTGCTGGAAAGAGAGAGAGAAACTACCTTTGTTGTATTTAATGTAATTTTCTGAACAGATCTTTGCTGTCACTGCAGTGTTTGTATTGAGGCAGATCCACAAGGGCCTGAGCAAGTCGAGTTTGAATTACCCATTGGGGAGTAAACAACTTCCAAATTCTTACCTTTCCGACAAATCCTTCGGTCAGGGTTTAAATTTCTCCATCTGATGTGTCAGTGTTACGGAAAACCCCGTGTTTCCAATCAACAAAGTTAGTGCCAGACATCTTAAAGTACAGAGAGGAGCCAGAGCTTTTGCTCGCCAACTCATGCAGAGCCAGAGCTATTCCAGGAGAGGGTTTCCCAGGTAGGAAGGTTGTCACTGGGGAATCGTGGTGTGTCCAGCTCCGATGCTGTTTGAGGACTCGGTCTGTGGTGCCATTTGGGAGGGGAAGGCAGGGAAGGAAGGGGCACCTGTGCCATCAGGAATTGCTCTCAGGGGGAGTGTGGCAGAGCTGGGTTCCCCTTGGACCTTCCAGAGCCACTGGCTCAGCCGAGTGTCCCTCAGTCCACTGTCTGAGCAATTCCAGCTGCTGTGCTGCAGCATGGAGTGAGCTGGGCTGTCTGTATGTCCATGCTTCACCTGTTTTATTTCACCTGGAAACTTCATGGAAATGTGCCCATTCCTGGTGTAACTCCAGCCAATGTAGGAAAATGGCAATGCAGTGTTCCCTGTCTTCAGTTTTATATGCAACCCTCCTGTGGTGGAGCTGGGGGCACAGTGCTGCTGCAGCAGCTCCTTGGGGCTGCCTTGGCATTCCACATCCCAAACTCAACTCTAAGGACCAGGAATGACTCTTCAAGCACAGTTCCTGACATTTGTATCTGGTCCCCCTTTTAAATTGTTTTAAAAAAATTTTGTATATGGAGGATAAAGTGCTTATATATTTATTAAAAATCCTTTATCTTATTTGAAATTATTATTTGGTGAAGAAGGGGTTTTTCTTTTGGGGGAGGGCTGGGGGGGGAGGTAACTTTTAACCTGTCACTTATAAATGAAGCCCTGATTAATCCTACAGAAAGGTACTGTTAGTAACTAATGGGATGTCTCTGTTTTATGCTTTGTACATGACAAGTCCATGTGTTACATTTTGTTTTCTATCAAAAGATTTGGGCATCTGTCTTCAACCAAAACCTGAAAAAATAAACAAACTGTGATTTTATTTGTTGCAATACATTTGAAATTTCAAAGGGTACTTTGGGGCTCAAAATTAGGATTTCTAAGTCAGTATGTGCATTTCACGTAATAAAGCTGTTAATGGTGAGCAAAGTATTATATACTAACTAGATTTTTTCCACATCTGTATAGTATATTCTATGTATTTTGTGGTATTGAGATTATAGAAAGTTTAGTGTCTGAAACATGCGTTTAATGTGTATTTTTAAACAAATTTATGGCAATTAAAATATTTGGAGAAAAGGGTATCACATTTCAATTTGTAAAGATCTTTTTAACTACTGTGTCATTAAAATGCTTTGTACAATGCAAAACTGTAACTGGAGAAACTAAGTTTAATAAATATCAAATAGATTTTCTGTATTAAACTTCCAATCCCCTGTGCTTGTATCTGTTTTCTGGGTGTTTTCCCTGGAAGTGCATTTTTAGGCAGACTTCTCTCTTTTTCTGATCCTAGTGCTCTGTGTAACAAAAGGAGAGCAGCATCCAGTATGTTCTTATTTAACCCAAAGTGCTTTGCTTTGTGTTTCAGCCCTCTGAATTAACGTCCAGCAGCTCAAAACAGCATTTTGATCAATTTATTTTAAAATAGAAGGTAAGGTCAGTGGCAAAAGTCAGTCTAGGACATGTATTTAAGTAAATTTGATTAGAAGTAATTAAGAGTAAATAGTTTTCCTTCCAGTTATCACTGGATATATTTGGGATATTGAAATTGGTATCAGTATTATCAGTTTGGCTCCCTCTTTCTAACAGGCCTTTATCTGAGCACTGATAAGAGTTCATCTGTCAGACTGAGGAGATGGAGCCTGATCTACTTTATGTTCCTGCCAGGTGGAAGGATAAAGGTCCAGCTGGATTTGAGCACCAGCTCTGCACTCACCGTCCACTCTGCTCACAGGATACAAGGAAAACCAAGGTGGTTTGCTGAATATATAATTTAATTCACACCTTCAAATAAATAATATGAACCGTTACAAAAAACCCAAACGAGCAGGAGAGGCAGAGCCCTTTTATTGAGCTTGGCCAGAGGCATCCTGAGGCCCAGAGCGCAGCCACGGCAGGAGATGGTCTTGAGCTCTTGAAGTCCTTTTATCAGCACATGTGACAGAAATATTAAATATGGTTTATATTTGATTGCTTGAATCACTGTCCAGCTCCTGAGCAGTCAATAAATATGTCCCAAGTGTGTGGAGCATCGTCAGCAGTAACAGTGAGGGGTGTTGTCATCATGAGCTCATGCCGAGGCCGTGGTGAGGAGGCAGCGGTTCTTCCTGGAAAAAAACCATCATGAGGCACTGAGAGCTGGGGCTGCCACTGAGCTGGGCTCAGACAGGTATCCCAGGTACATCCTCAGCAGCGCTCCCCACGCCCAGGTGTTCCAGCAGTGGTCCAGCTCAGGTAGCCCTGCACACTGTGTTCACCTCTAACTCTACTCAGTTTGTCTTGATTCATTTTCTGTTCTTAGCTTTTACATCATAACTCCAAAATGTGTGTTGCCCAGGGCTATAGGATCAGGTGCAGTGTAGAAATGGTACAGAACTGCAGTCCTGTCCACAGCGTCCTGTTCTGTCTGTACCTTCCTGTTGTTGCTGGTCCAGCTCAGTTCTGGGAATCAGCAGAACCTAATGATTCATTTCAAACACAGCATACAGCCTAACCACCCTGTACTGTTTATTTTTTTATCCTATTTATTTATAATAGAATATGAAATAATCTTATTTATAATCATATTTATTAATAATAGGATACATTTATCCATTTTTCCTATTTACATATAGTAGAAAGTGGTTATGTTCTACATTGTTTGTGATTTCTGGTATATATGCACAGCAGGTGCCACACAAAATCACCTTTCAGTCACTAAGTAGAAATTTTAACTATTCTATTTATGTATTCAACTATATGCAGTTGGACAATTTGCTTACATCTAGTGTTCATGAGAACTCAATGGTGTTTGATATTGTTGTCTTTTAAACTATGAGCTCAGTAAGCACCTTAAAGTGGTTAATTTAGGGTAAGATGTAATACATGGTTTTTTACTTTTAATTAATACATGCTTTAAAGTGAACAGCATTGGCTTTAGGAAGGATTAATTTTAAGGTCTGTGGTTACCTAAAAGCTGTCTGGAGTCCTCTGTTCCTTTTTGCAAAGCCAGGTTATTTGGGGTTGCAGTGAAAGGACTAAGACTGGCAGTCAAGGAACTTGGACTCTGCTCTGTTTGCACTGCTTACAAAAGAGTCTGAGTCTGTTGCCCCATCCCTGTTCCTGGTATCTTTTTTTGTGAACTCTGGATCCCGTTTGGGTGAGACTAAGTGTGAACTTCCTTTCCATCACACAGTATTAAGGGTTGCTGAGTTACCTGCAGAGCATGGTGATGCACTCGCTGTTGTCCCTGCAGGAGGCTCCGATGGGTCTCAGGGACACTCCTCTCCAGAAGGGCGTCATCCGCCGCTGCCGTGGCACCCGGGTCTGGGGCAGGGATGCACCGTGTGCCTGAAACAGAGCCAGGGGGACTGTCAGCACATGAGGCACCTGCGGATGGTTGCTCTGATGCTGAGGTCAGTTGTCTTAATTGAAGCACTTGAAATGTTTCTGGTTTCCAGAACATAGCGTACTCTGTCAAAGTATTGCTTGTAGCCCGACCCCAAAGAACTAAGTACCAAAATTAACAATGTTTTTTAATCTTGGGAGGGAAGGCAGAATCGCTTGCTAAGTTATGGCTCAGAGTAGTCCAATATTCACTAGGCAGTTACTCTTCATTTTATGACATTGAATCCTCTAAAAAAGCTCTACTGTCACCTCTAACCCCAGCCAGCTCTCCATCCAAATCATAGCAGCTTTCGTGAACTACCCGTCCATTTGAATTAGCTCTTTAAATAGTATATTTCTAATTATTTATTTCAGTAGCTATATTTCAATAGTTGTCTCTCTTTACCTGGCTGAGCAGCAGTGAGCAGAGCAAAAGGACTGCCATCATTTTCCACCAGTGCATCTTCCCAGCGTGAGTTGTCACTTCGACCAGCCGTGGGCGGAGGAGGCAGGAAGAACTCTATGAGAACTTCCCAGGCTTTCAGCTAGATTTTTATAGACTTCATTCTCTTATCATTACATCAGCTGCCAGTTATTACAGGAACAAAGTTCGGTTTGGAGCAAGAGGGAATTGCTAAGTCTACATCTGCTGAAGTGATCTGGTTCAAGGCCTGTCTCTTGAGCTAATAATTTACTCCCCTTCCACTTGTACTTTGTCTGGTCACCTTACCCATTGTGCCAACTGTTCCTTTTTTTAAAGCCTACCTAATATGTTACCAGAACTCCATAGTCTATTTGCATCCAAAAGGGGGGTTGGCCCAAATTATTATGGTCAAGACTGAAAGCCATAACCTTATTTAACATCTGTGCCACCCACAATGTGTGTTGCTCTGAGTTTGCCAGCCAGGGGCAAGTGTTGTCTTGCCAAGGTTATTTGGAGCAGAGGATTGTGCTTTTGATTCTGCTTCTCACTCTTGGTACAGGAAAGAACCGTAAGAAAATTGCTTAACCTTCCTTTCCAGGCATATGGTGCTCAAAAAGCAGGTGTAACACTTCTCAGATGGGTCTGGGAATGTAAAATGTGCAGTAACTCATAGAGTTCTTCTCTGAGGAGTCCTAAGGTGTGTTAAAGATAATCATCTCCAAACAGATACTGGAAGAAGCTGCTCAAGGCTGTCTGGAGCTGAGGTGCTCCATGTGGCAGGACTGCGGTTCCTTAGATGAGCTGTCTCTGTCTCTGTTCCTGTCACTCACCATCGGGCTTCCAAACGGTGCCAGCAGCTCCCATGGATGTGGATGGGCTGTTTGTCATTAAGAGGAATTTCATTTTTTTCCATTGTGGACTGAGATTGCAGCAGCAGAGAAAAGAGTGTTTGAGCAGAGCTGTTACCTCTCATCTCCTCTGTCATCCTCCGCTTACACAATTCTCCCACTTGTCCCAGTGTTTGTGTCTCCTCATCTGTGAGATCTTGTGTATCTTGTTGGATTGGGCTCAGAGCAACCAGGTCTAGTGGAAGGTGTCCCTGCTCATGGCAGGGGGTGGAACTGGATGAGCTTTAAGGTCCCTTCCAACCCAAACCAGTCTGTGGTTCTGTCTGGCTCCCACATCTGTCCCATGTGCCCCGAATCTGTCAGGTCAAGACATTTGTGACTGCAGGGTGACATAAAAAGAATTCCAACTTAATTGTGTCAGTGTATGGGATTTTTGGAATACATTATGTCTTAAATTACTTCAAGGTGGAAGATATTGTATAAAATAGTGAACTATCCTTTAGCTAAATTGTAAATACAGATCTGGATGTCACAGGCTCTATTTCTGTGATTGCTTAATATGAAGGCACAAGTGCCAGCGTGGAAGGCAAGTGACTTAGATTAAGATAATGCCATGCTGTCAGATGATTACCCCTTAGCCCAAATTTCACTGGGATTAAATAAAAAACCTTCCCAGTTTTTTATGAACAAATAAATAAATAAATAATACCCCCCCCTTTTTTATTTAAAACCAGTATACTGTCTACAACCAATATTGGATTATCTCTTCCTTTCCTAAGGTGGTTCTTGCACTCCTTCCTTTGCCTGGTTTGTGTTGCTTCTCTGGAAGGAGGAAGCAAAATTTTTCATTATTTGTCCTTCCTGGATTTTATGACGAGAAGGAAGTGGGACAGTAAATCATAGCATGTCAAGTAGCTGAATTTAAAAGTTCCTTTTACATTTAGCTGGGAATTTCCCAATTATTTTCCCCATTAAATCCTTCCTTTACATGCATCTGAGTTCTAATTTCTGCTATTTCCATAGGCACTAGTGTAGAACAGAGAAAGGAGAACAAGACAGCAGCAGTAGCCCTGAGTTCATCCATGGAAGCACAGGATTTGGAATGACAGCAGAGCCCTCTGTAAGTCATCATCTCTCAGCTTTTTTGGCTGGGTAAGGCTGGTACTTTGTGATGATACATCAAAATTGTTGTGTGTCCTTTTGGGTCACTAATAGCATCAACATGTGCCTGTCAGGCAGCAAACTGTGCAAGAAACTGGCGACAAAAGGACAAAACTGAGTCAGTTGCTTCCATGCCCACAAGTCCTGGAGGCTGGTAAGAACCCACAGCAGAGATGTGAGAAAAGAGATGTTGCTCTGTTGCCACTTCTAATAGTTACCAAAGGGAGGATGAAAATAAACCAGCAACCGAAAAATTTTTGAGTGCCTTGTTCAGATTCTGAAATGCCCAGGGACAGAACTGCCAATGCCGCGGGTCCAGGGGGAACCATCCCAGCAGGGAACAGGGCCGGTGTCCGAGGGGGAGGTTGGCTTGGAGGGGTCAGGATAGTTGGGCAGGGTAGCAACAGGTGGAGGAGCAGCAGGGGCAGAGGCCTGGACTGGAGCTGTGGGCTGACCCCGCAGCTCAGGGCTGACCCTGGCACGGGGCTGAGCCACCCCGGGGCCAGCACGTGGCCGCCGTGCCGCTGCCCCCGTTTACATTTGTCTGGCACCTGGTCCAGACACAGTTCAGCAGGGGCAGGGACTTCGTGAGAGCCCCAGGGAGTGCTGGCCTTCAGCAGAGCTGTGAGACAACACAGTGAAAACCAAGTGTTTACTGAGCAGAACTTCACAGGGGCTGTCACTGAGACCACCCAGCAGCTGCTCCGGGGCTCTCGGAGGCTCAATGGGCAGGATAGAAAGTTCTGAATTAAGTGTCTCCTTCCAGTGCTTTAAGGGGGCTTGTAAAAACGAGGGGGAGAAATATTTTACACAGGCAGACACTGACAGGACAAGGGGAAATGGCTTCACATTGACAGAGGGCAGGGTTAGATTGGATGTTAGGAAGAAATGCTTCTCTATGAGGGTGGTGAGGCCCTGGCACAGGTTGCCCAGAGAAGCTGTGGCTGCCCCATCCCTGGAAGTGTTCAAGACAAGGCTGGATGGGGCTTGGAGCAACCTGGTCTAGTGCAGGGTGTTCCTGCCCATGGCAGGGTGTTGGAATGAGATGAGCTTTAAGGTCCTTTCCAACCCAGGCAATTCTATGATCCTATAAATCTGCCTCTAGACACTTCTACCAGCTCTCACAGCCAGGTGTTGCTCCCTGCTTGCTTAAGCAGCCTAGAAAATACCAGTGAACCAAAATGCAGGTACATTTAAGCACAGAATATTTTTGCCAACACTTGCAGCACTGGCCAACTGCTTTTCCTGCAGTTTATGCCAACCTCAGGCTGTGCTCGGAAGATAAATAAGAGACTGAGCTTAGTCTCGTGCTTTTTAAGTATATGTTATGAGCCCCAAAATACTCAAGCACTGACCTCTTAAAACTGCTTGCCCCCCAGCTTCCTGAAGTGAGAGCCTGAGCATCTTTGTCTCCCAGCCCTGAGCACGTGGAGAAACTCACCCAGGTAAACGTCACTGCTGCCCTGCAGATAAGATAAACTCCCAGTACAGGTACAGGAATAGCACAGCAGGGAGACCAACGTGTTGCTCTGTGTTGCTCTGTGTAGGGCGGGTGCTTGAGGCAGTCAGCGGAACACTGGAAGGAAAAAATTCCGACAAAGGAACCAGCCAAGTGTTCTGGACTTCAAACAGTGGAGCTTGTTTCTATCCTCAGAGCCACGGGGTGAATTTGTCACCTATTTAAGTGACTTCATTACTTGCAGCTGATTTTTAATCATCTTCAGGCATTTATCAGTTATGTTTCTCCCTGTAGTGCTCAAGAAGGTTCTAATGCAGCCCATTAACAACGATCAGATATCAGAGTGTAGTTAATCACCCAATTAACATTAATATAACTAGGTAATTAGAATCACAGGATCATAGAACAGCCCAGGTTGGAAGGGACCTTGAAAGATCAGCTAGTCCAGCATTTTGTGGGAAAGGAGCCCATATGAGGTTACCTGGCACCCCAGCCAGTCACCTCCTGAAATCTTTCCCTGGGCCTCCCCCTCATCCTGGGCAGGGTGTTCCAGGGACTGATTGTTCTCACTGGAAAAAATCCCTTTGTTACATGGAGATGAAACCTCTCCTGGTGCAGCTTGTTCCTGTTCCCTCTCATCTTCTGGCCAGGGCTCCAGTGAAGAGAGAGGTCAGGGTCCATCCCCAATCCCGAGCCACTGTCTAGCTCATTCAGCTTTAATCAATGCCAAATCAGGCAATGTTTGTTTTTCACAGATCTCAAGGCTGGAGGAAAAATACCAGCCAGTGATGGGAAAATAAACAGAACAAGGAACTGTCATTTCAAAACAGCCCTTGCTGCACTTTATATTGAGGAATATTTCAAAGAAACGGGAATCACAAAAGCTGGAAGTGCTGTACAATAAAAACATCCGAGCACATGGAACTTAAGCCTGATTATCTGCCTGTACAGAGAGAACCAGACAAGGGATTTGATGCTCCTCACCTTAAACAGCTTAAGACAGAGATTTCACACAAAGTCATGGGGCAAAGTTACAATTTATTAGACAAGACTTATCTCCCTGTTAATCCCTTTTGGCCATGGGAACAAGCACAGCAGGTCCGTAACAGTGCGGGAAGGAGCTCTGGGGCCATGTGGTCACTGGTCGTGCTCATAGTCAGCCGGGTTCTTCCTCTTCAGCCGCTCAAACTCCTCCGTCCCCCAGGAATAAATGAGGTATCCGACTGCAAAGGCTGGGAGGGAGAGAGGGCAGGCACAATCAGAGGACATGGGAATGAGGGGACACTGCTATAACGGGGCAATCACAGTAAAGGGACACTGGAATAAGAAGACGCTTTCAATATAGGGACACTGCAATGAGAGGACACTGAAATAAGGGGACACTAAAAGGAGGGGTCAGTGCAATAACAGGACACTGCAGTATTGGGGAGACTGCAACGAGGGGACACAGGAATGAGAGGACACTGCAATAGGGGGGCATTCACAATAAGGAGACATTCGATGCAACGAGGGGACACTTCTGTAACGGGACACTGCTATATGGGACCATTGGAATAAAGGGATATTCGCCATATAGGGACATTGCAGTAAGGGGACACTGGAATAAGGGGATAGTCACAATACGGGGTCACCGCAGTGAGGGGACACTGCACTGCGCACTGCACAGACCTCCTGCGACAAAACACAGCGTCCCACAAACCCGCCATCTTCCCCGCCAGCCCCACATCCCCCCTCCCCAAAT